TATTGTGTTTATTATAAAAAAAACTTTTTAAACAAAGGTGTCTGATAAATTTGTTCATATCAATAAAAAAAATTAAACTGATTAAAATTAGTTGTTGGGGCAAATTTTAGGCCTTTTGTTAAGATTTCTATCTCTTCTTTCGCTAGTGGTTGTCCTGTCAGGTTAAAAATTCCTTTACAAAACCAGTGGAAATAGATGTAATAGATATAATAAAAAGGGCAGTTACATACACCAATAAGCGTCTTAAGTGAGTGAAAGCTCATAGGTCATTTAAGGTTATGTGCGCTCCTCAATGTAACAACATAAAAATAAAACAATGAAAAATAAAAAGAACAAATTTATTGATTATAAAACCATGCATATAAATCCTAAAAATAGTATTAAATCCTGAATATAAGCTTCACCATGCTGATCAAGTTCTTGTCTGTAATGAGATTATAAAGGTAATAAGAAACAATAAGTATATATGGAGTGTATAAACAGGCACCGATAGATGAATGCGATACACCAAACAACGGTGTAGCTCAAAGCTACCGCGCCTGTAAACACATACAATTACAAACCAATAAGAAACATTATCAAAAATGTATCCCTAAGCCCATAAAAAATAATACACAGAAAATACCTTGCCTTGGTGTGGGCCCCCACCGAGGTAAAAGGAAAAACGTGTCCCGGAAGATATATCCTCAAAAGATAAAAAAATGAAGAATGTCCGATGGGGTGACACCAAACCCAGAGGGGTAATATATCAGAGATGAATAAATACAGGGAGTGCAGAATTATTAGGCAAATGAGTATTTTGACCACATCATCCTCTTTATGCATGTTGTCTTACTCCAAGCTGTATAGGCTCGAAAGCCTACTACCAATTAAGCATATTAGATGATGTGCATCTCTGTAATGAGAAGAGGTGTGGTCTAATGACATCAACACCCTATATCAGGTGTGCATAATTATTAGGCAACTTCCTTTCCTTTGGCAAAATGGGTCAAAAGAAGGACTTGACAGGCTCAGAAAAGTCAAAATAGTGAGATATCTTGCAGAGGGATGCAGCACTCTTAAAAATTGCAAAGCTTCTGAAGCGTGATCATCGAACAATCAAGCGTTTCATTCAAAATAGTCAACAGGGTCGCAAGAAGCGTGTGGAAAAACCAAGGCGCAAAATAACTGCCCATGAACTGAGAAAAGTCAAGCGTGCAGCTGCCGCGATGCCACTTGCCACCAGTTTGGCCATATTTCAGAGCTGCAACATCACTGGAGTGCCCAAAAGCACAAGGTGTGCAATACTCAGAGACATGGCCAAGGTAAGAAAGGCTGAAAGACGACCACCACTGAACAAGACACACAAGCTGAAACGTCAAGACTGGGCCAAGAAATATCTCAAGACTGATTTTTCTAAGGTTTATGGACTGATGAAATGAGAGTGAGTCTTGATGGGCCAGATGGATGGGCCCGTGGCTGGATTGGTAAAGGGCAGAGAGCTCCAGTCCGACTCAGGCGCCAGCAAGGTGGAGGTGGAGTACTGGTTTGGGCTGGTATCATCAAAGATGAGCTTGTGGGGCCTTTTCGGGTTGAGGATGGAGTCAAGCTCAACTCCCAGTCCTACTGCCAGTTCTGGAAGACACCTTCTTCAAGCAGTGGTACAGGAAGAAGTCTGCATCCTTCAAGAAAAACATGATTTTCATGCAGGACAATGCTCCATCACACGCGTCCAAGTACTCCACAGCGTGGCTGGCAAGAAAGGGTATAAAAGAAGAAAATCTAATGACATGGCCTCCTTGTTCACCTGATCTGAACCCCATTGAGAACCTATGGTCCATCATCAAATGTGAGATTTACATGGAGGGAAAACAGTACACCTCTCTGAACAGTGTCTGGGAGGCTGTGGTTGCTGCTGCACGCAATGTTGATGGTGAACAGATCAAAACACTGACAGAATCCATGGATGGCAGGCTTTTGAGTGTCCTTGCAAAGAAAGGTGGCTATATTGGTCACTGATTTTGTTTTTGTTTTGTTTTTGAATGTCAGAAATGTATATTTGTGAATGTTGAGATGTTATATTGGTTTCACTGGTAATAATTAATAATTGAAATGGGTATATATTTGTTTTTTGTTAAGTTGCCTAATAATTATGCACAGTAATAGTCACCTGCACACACAGATATCCCCCTAACATAGCTAAAACTAAAAACAAACTAAAAACTACTTCAAAAAATATTCAGCTTTGATATTAATGAGTTTTTTGGGTTCATTGAGAACATGGTTGTTGTTCAATAATAAAATTAATCCTCAAAAATACAACTTGCCTAATAATTCTGCACTCCCTGTAGATATACTTCACACCGCAGTCGGGATCTTCGAAAAAGACCGTGGTGTAGCTTGATGTAGCTTGCAGATGGACGAGCGAGAGACAACCACTCTGGGCACAACAACTGGAACTGGATACAATCAACGGCACGGTCACAGCCATCGTAAAAGACCGTGGTAAAATTGGAAAAAGCTCACAGACACTTCAAACAAATCAGGAATCAAAAGATCAGCTGGGACCATGCGTCTACGCGTTTCATCCCTCCCATGGGACTTTTTCAAGACAACTCAGCTGAGGGAGGTCCAACTTTAAATACCCTATTAAGGACATGGTGAAAACATGAAAACCCTTACTGGATTCATAAAAAAAAATAAAAAATTGATACAGGCATGAAAATAACATTAAATCAATTATAAAACATATTTCAATACAACTCTAGATAAATAAAAAAAAATTTAAACCAAGTACTAGGATCCAATTCTCAAAATGAGTATGAACCCCTAATATAGGCTTTTAGGATGATTCATATCAAATCTATTGAGAATAAAATAATTATATACACAATAACAATAATAATACAGTATTTATGTTAGGCAAAAAGCTTATACCAGTATAAAAGAAATGACTACCAAATATGTAGATTTAAGGAGACAGGCTCCATTCTTCAGAGGGGTATGCATAGTGGCTAAATTTAGAGATACCATAGAGACAGGCTTAATCATTGAGTTCTTTTTAGTTAGGTTCATAAATAACTAACTCTTTTATATAGAAAAACTCCTACATAACTGGTAAACCATAATACAAAGTGTCATGTGAATAAACAGTATATCAATTCAAGGACAGGAGGACTAGAGAATAATCAATAATAATTGTTACTAAATATGGCATTGGGAAGTAAAAGGAAAACGAAACAATATAATTTCACAAGGATTGTCAGCAGCAGCAGTGTTAGAACAATTCAAGCTCCTCATTGAGGCCATTGGGCATCACAGAATTGAGCTTGAAGATACACATAGACTCTGCCTTAATTAATTCCCTTTTCCTTTGAGCGCCATCCAGATTTAATGGAATATGGTCTATCCCCATTACTTTAATACCAGAAGGATCTTTGTCATGATAAATTTCAAAGTGGCGTGCCACTGAGGATCTCATATCATTATGTATTATAGCTAATCTATGTTCCCTGAATCTGCATTTCAAGGGTCTAGTTATTTGACCCACGTATTGTAGCCAGCAGGGGCAAGTTAGAAGATACGCAATGAATGAAGTATAGCAGGTAATTTTAAATGATATGGAAAAAGTTTCTCTACTATTATACGGACTAAACGTAGAAATATGGTGACAAATATAACCACATATAAAGCACTTGTTACGACCACATCGCTTATTAGCAATACCTTCATTTTCACCCCTCACTTGTGTCCCATTATCCAAAGTGAATTTAGAGGGAGGCTAAAATATTCTTTAAATTAAGTGCCCTTCTGAAAGTTACTCTTTGGACATCAGAGATACAGAAAGATAACCACAAGCCCTTAGTCAGAATGGGCCAATATTTATAGAAAATATGAATAATTTCATCAAAACCCTTATTGAAAATATGGACGTCTTACCTCCACCTACTTCTTTTGTACTAATATTATATCTATCTCTTCTCATATTAGGGGTATAGGCCCCCCAATAATTCAAGAATAATATAGTGCTCATTTGCATGGGCCCTCTGTTCTGAACCTTTAGCTTGGGTATAGCCATTGAATATCGTGGAGCTTTTGGTAGGGGATCTGGAAGGAGTCTCTCTATTCAGATCCCCCCCTCTCAGATATGCGTTCAGAATCTGTTTGGATGGATAAGCTTTATCCAAAAAACACTGACATAAGATTAAAGATTCTATTTCATAATCCGGCATAAATGAACAAATCCGGCTAATTCTGATGTATTGACCTGATGGTATGTTTTGTATCCATGTAGGGTGATGCCCGCTCATGGCATGCAAATAACCATTCACATCGACACTTTTCCAATATGTTTTAGTATGTACCCTTCCATTAGAACCAATTAGGGTTAGATCCAAAAAAATCAATAGTGGAGCTATGCTTCTTATAAGTAAACGAAAGACCGTAACAGTTGTTGTTTATATGTGAAACAAAATCTTCTATCTCATCCCAGTCACCCCTCCAAATAATAATAATGTCTTCAATGAATCTGCTATAGAGGGCAAGTCGCTCCATCCAATGTGGGTCACAAAGATTGTAACAGATTGTAACATGCTCCTAGTAACCCATGAACAGGTTAGCATAGGATGGATCGAAACTCGCCCCCATCTCATTTCCCTTGGTCTGTAAATAAAACGTCCTGTTAAATTCAAAATAGTTATGTGTCAACATAAACTCTGTGAACCTAATGATAAATTCTGCCTGTCTCTCTGGAAGAAGATGATCTGTACCCAAATATTGGGATAGTGCTTTCAACCCCAGGGTATGATCGATATTTGAATAGAGGGCTGTCACATCAATTGTTAACCAGCAGTAGTGTTCCAACCATTTAATATCCTTGACAATGGACAACACATGTCCAGTGTCCTTCAGAAAGGAGGGAAAATTGGGGACGTATCTCTGCAGATGGAAATCAACCCACTTGGAAACCGGGGAAATCAATGAACCTAAACCCGAAATAATGGGGCGACCAGGAGGGTTCGTCAGAGATTTATGCACCTTCGGGAGGTAATAGAAAATGGGTATGTCCTCTTGGGCCGAAAGGAAGAAACTTCTTTTTTATCGATGGATCCACTAGCATATGCTAGTTCTATGAGATCTTTCAATTCATTCCTAATGGACTGGGTGGGATCACATCTTAATGCCTTGTAGTATTCTTCATTGCCAATAATGTTATAGGCTTCATTCACATAATCAGCTTTATTCAACAGAACAATCCCTCCACCCCCCTTATCCACACCTTTGATTATCAAGTTGTTGTTGTGTTTCAGACTTTTGACTGCTAATAGTTCTAATTTGTCCAAATTATTACAGACTCGATCTTTCTTCTTTTGGAGCTCAACACAAAGAGCCTTTAAATCTTTTAGAACCAGGTCATAGAACATTTGAATAAATAGTCCTTTATCCACTTGTGGATAATAGGTGGAGGGGGGTTTTAGTCCAGATGAAATATTGGCGTTCACTACATCAAGTGCATCCCAGTTCTGCTGTGGGATGTCTTGTTCCTCCAGAAGGGAGATTAAATTATAGAAGATGACTTTGTGCTGCGGGGTATTAAAGATCTTAGGACACCCCTCCCTACCTGTTGCCTCCCTTATGTTAAAGGATCTGATGACAGTGAGTTTTCTCACAAAATGATTAAGATCCTTGAACAAATCAATGATATTAGGTATTCTGTCCGGAGCATATTTTAAGCCCTTATTCAGGAGAGAGATTTCCCCACCATTGAGGACATGGGATGATAAATTGAATATGCCTTTATTCAAAGGCATCTCACTTTTGCTGGACTGTCCACCTCATCCTCTAGTTCCTCTAAGGGGGTGCCCCTCTTTTTGTGCATATTCCTGAATAGTGGAAATGTCTTTTCCTCTGTTGCTCGAGAGGGGGCTATCTCTAAAAAATCAGGCTTAGTGGTTACATTTCTCTTGTTCATATATACATGTTTCGGTCTAGCGCCCAGATCGTGTGCTATGTTAACCGTAGCTCCGGACTCCTCCTCCTCTCTGGTGCTTGATTGAGGAGGTTTTCCCAGAGAGATGAGGTTGGGGTTATAAGATTCCCCTTTGTGCCGCCGTGGTGTAAGGAAATAATTCCTCCTGAAGTTGGATTTACTGTCATTTGAAATAGGAGGAGATCGATTCACACTATAGGGGTTCTTAACTGCATTCGCATAGGATCTAGGTTTCTGCTTTTGGTTCCCCTTAAAAAATGTGTTGGAATAGTGGGAACTGGCACCCATAGAGGGTGGTACATTCAAATGACTTCTATCTTGAAAAGATATACATTTTCTCTTTCTTTGCCAACTCCTAACTTGCTTATTTTGATAGTCCAGTTTGTCCCTTTGGAATTTCTTATTTTTCCATGATATTAACTCTTTTTCAAATTTGATCAATTTCTGGTTAGTAACATCATCCAATTGAGAAATGGTGGTGGACTGTTGCGTGGAACTGATTTGTTCTTGTAAGTCTTTAATTTTATTTTCAGTAACCAGAAGCCTGGATTCTCTATATCCATTAATACAAGAAAGCAGGTATCAAGTGCCCCTAGCCATTCCTGTTCTAGTGTGGCATTGTCATCAAAGAACGGCTGTTTATCAAACCTGAGCCCCCTAGGTATAAATTTATATTACACATATTTCTTAAACAGGGCGCCATCCCACCAATCTTTCATTTCATGTTTTAAGGTCTTTTATAACTCAAAAAATAGTTTGTGAACATTTGCTTCTTTAACGGAGGTGGTCTCCATAATCTTTTTCTCCCAGGAGGTTAATTCTCCTATCGATCCTATTTTTAACACTGTTGAGACTCATAATTATCGACCTATAAAGGGTGTTGTGTCAACAATACACAAATTCAATTGGAAATAAAAGGAAAAAAGGATGGCTTGTTGCCTAACTCCACACAACTATATAAATGCGCTTCAATATAAAAGAACTATACAAAACTAGTGGAAATAGGTGTAATATATAAAATAAAAAGGGCAGCTACATACACCAATAAGCGTCTTAAGTGAGTGAAAGTTCATAGGTCAAAAAAGGTTATGTGCACTCCTCAATGTAACAACATAAAAATAAAACGATGAAAAATAAAAAGAACAAATTTATTGATATATAAAACCATGCATATAAATCCTAAAAATAGTATTAAATCCTGAATAGAAACTTCACCATGCTGATCAAGTTCTTGTCTGTAATGAGCTTATAAAGGTAATAAGAAATAATATGTTTATATGGAGTGTATAAACAGGCACCGATAGATGAATGCGATACACCAAACAACGGTTTATATCAAAGCTACCGCGCCTGTAAAACACATACAATTACAAACTAATAAGAAACATTATCAAAAATGTATCCCTAAGCACATAAAAAATAATAATACACAAAAAATACCTTGCCTCGGTGTGGGCCCCCACCGAGGTATAAGCAAAAAGCGTGTCCCTTCTTGTGTCTTCTCTATCTCTTGTGTCTTCTCTATCTCTTGCCCCTCTTTTCTCTGTTGCTCATTCCTTCTTCTAGATTTCTTTCTTCTGGCAACCTTTGCCGTTTGCCCGGTGAGTCGTATGGAGGCTCTTGTGTCTGTTTCAATCTCTCTTTGACTGTGCTTTTCCGAAAAAAAGAATAGGATTCTGTGTGTAATATCTGTGATGGTTCCTCCACTATATTTTCATGAAGTGGTGGTGGTGTTCTGGGATTTCTTATATGTGGTATATGGTCCCATTGTGGGATATTTCTTCCAGGTCTTCTTGGGGAATTATATTTAACTACTTCACTATAACTTCTATGTGTGGAGGAGGAGGGATGGGAGACGTGATGTGTGGGAGAACGTATAGTGTTGTATCGTGATATGTCTTTATGTCTCCCTGGGGTTTGTGTTTGAATTCTCTGTTTTCTAGTGTCTTGTTCTCTTTGTCTCCAATATAGTCTGTGTTTTATTGGGCTTTGGGTTTGTTTATAGTGCCATCTTTTATTTGTGTCATATTTGTCTCTTCTACTATATTTATTGGGCGATTCCCTTCTCTGTTTAATCTCATTTTTATTGTATGTTTTATTCTCTCTAATACTGGTTGGGTTTTTAAAAACATTGCCGGTTTTGTAGTCGTTGGTATCTCTCAAATATTTTTCTTTTTTATCTCTATTGTTTCTCTTTCTGCTTTCTCTATTTTAATCTTAATGTCTTTAATTATTCGATTATACATATCAGGGCCGGTGCTTTCACTGATTTTTTTTTTTGCCAAGTTTTAATGTCTTCATCTATTTGGGTAAGGCTCTCTTCTCTCCTTCCATCATTTTATTCCAGCCTGTCATAAAGGATTGGTTGTCTCTGTCAAAAGTGGGATTTTTATAGAACCTTAAGCCTCTGGGGGTGATCTGCTCCCTTACATAATTTTTGTGTGGCCACTTCCCACTTCATTTTCATTTCTCTTATTAAGGATTTCTCTAATTGGTTTTTGCAGTTGTCGTGGTTAATATATTATCTCTTATTGTTTGTTTCAGTCAGTAAAGCAAACTAGCTCTATAAAAACATTATTTTTCTGCAATTCAGACACTAAAAGTGTAGTAAGCATATTTATCTCCACCATATACTAAAATATAAATGACTAACTATACAGCATAATAATGCAATTGTACCCCTGTTTCTATTTCAATAAGATGTGTGTGTATGTGTGTGTGTATAAATAGTAACCACATGATACATATATCACATCTACACGCAATAGCACTTCTGTTGCTTGTCAATGTATATAGTATTCATATGCAACCGCACTTTCATTTTCTACTACAAGGTATACAGTATTCCTATGTAGTAGCACCCTTATCTCCTGCCATAAGGAATTTAGTACTCATACACATAAGCACTTTTGTTTCCTGCCATAAGGTATATAGTATTCATATGCAATAGTTTTTTTTCCCCTGCTGTAAGGTATACATAATTCACATACAGCAGCACTTTTGTTCTGCTGCATATTCAGGAAGGAATTCCTGCCATAAGGTATTTAGTACTCATACACAACAGCACTTTTGTTTCCTGCCATAAGGCTTATGGCATTCAATGCAATATTACTTTTGTTTCCTGCTATAGGGTATACAGAATTCAAATGCAGCAGCACTTTTGTTCTCTGTCATAAGATATGAATTATTAATGAGATATAACACTTTTGCATGCAGTAACATTATTGGTTCCTGTTATAGGATGTATAATATTTAGATACAGCAACATTTTTTGTCTTCCATAACAAGAGATATAATATTTATAAGCATTTGCACTTTCTTGTCTGGCCATGATGTACTTATGTTTAAACATAACAACAGGAATACACACAACTATATTCCTGTTTCCCTTCATATGTATGGACATTTCAGAGTACAATAAAGATTCCAAATGTCAAAATAGAGCCAGTAGAAAGCATAGTGCTTTCCAAACACAGAGTAAAACCGGAAGTGATGTATTGCAACTTCTGAACCGGAAGTGGAGGAAAAATGGCATATTTTATATTTAAAACAGAGCAGACACAGCAAGTGATTGAAACCAACTGAGGAAGCCCCATTACAGGGGCGAAACATGTTTTGGACTACTCTGCACACCTTGGGACCATAGTGTCCACATACTCCCAAAGACTTTTATACTTTTATATAATTTTATTTTAATGATTTACTTGAATAAAAGCATCTTTTACAAGCTATATCTCCAGCATCCTGTGTCCAGGTTACCAGAGGTATACAGCACAGACCAGGAGTAATAGGAGTTGGACCTCCTCCAAGCGTCCTACTACACTTTCCATCAGAGCCATATGAAGCTAATGGCTCTTCACTTGTGAGTGACACTCCAAATCTCATTACCTTTATATAACTGTACTGGCAATATTGCACTATTATTCTGTTTTATTTTCACAGATTTATATCAGCTCCACCTTTTGTATGTATATTTTGTACTTCTGCACAGTTAGCCCATGAAGTAGCCAGAGCTCTTGTTGAATGCGCTTTAATTTTAGTAACAGGAGATAAGTTCTTGTGCTGGTAGGCCCTCTGGATGATTATAGTGTAGGTAGAAGCAGAGGCGGTCTCACCTCTTCTTGTACCCGAAGGAAGTACAAATAACTGGTCAGACTTCCTGTAGGATTTTGACATTTCCAAATAACGAACCAGACATATCCGAACATCCAGATTATGAAGTGTGGCTTCCACTTTGGATTCTGAATTAGGTAAGAATGATGGTAGAACCACCTCTTGGGACAGATGGAATTCAGAGACCACTTTAGGTAAGAATTCTTGCTTAGTGCGTAAGCATACTCTATCATGATATACCTGAGTACAAGAGTCATCTGCAGAGAAGGCTTTAATTTCAGAAATTCATCTTGCTGACGTTATAGCTACTAGAAACAAGGATCCCAAACTGCGGAAACAGGTTCAGGGTGTTGCACAGAAACAGACGGTCAAATCTGGAGCCAAAATTAGCACTTTTAAATTTTGGCGCGGTATCCTTTAAAATGCTGGGATTCGCACATGCTACATGTTCCAGCTGAGCATCAATCGCGTCATCATTCTGCGACCCGATCAGCCATGCCCTCTTGCTTCCCCTACAGGGAAACGGACGGGAAATCAAACTGCAGTTAATTCTGCAGAGTGGAAAGCAAGGAGAATGAAGAATCCCACATAAGCAACCAACCAATCCTGAGTCCAGTACACTAACAGAGCAGCACAAGGTAGATTGAAAGATTAATAAAAACATGCCAGCTGACCATGGCTTCTCCAAAACTAGTGTCCCAGAGATCCATGCAATGAAAAGAAGGGGAGTTATCTCAGGGGAAATTTTTAAGGTACTCACCGACCCCTATTTCATCTGAGTAATAAAAGGATCCAGATCTTGAGTCTTTGCTTGGTTCATGTCTAATCTGAAACCTAACTCAGTTAGTCCTGCCTGTGCAGGCTGATTACTTAGTTCTTCAAATGTAGAGTAGCTGAACTTTATTTGGTATACCCACGGAAATGCAGGAAGGGGACCAAAAAGAAAATTTCCATGTTTAAAAAAATGTAATCCCTGAAGGGATTTATGAAGGGAGGATGGACATTTTGTACCTAATTAGTCTGATTAATTAGTTTTAATTCCTGTCCTGTTTTGGCTGTGGGAGGAGCTACCCATGAGTGTTGCTGCCATGATTAGCCAGGAAAAACAATTTATTTGTCCTGAGTTGTAAAAGAAATGATTGTTGATATTATAAATACAATTGTTCTTATAAGCACCAAGTACCAGTTCTTAGCATACTATTGT